GCTAAGGGGTACTATACCGAGACCGTCGGAATGGAATAATAAATGTTAAAAAGGGTACGGAATAATAAGGGCTCTGGCAGGCATGGACCCCAGAATCTGCAAAAGAAGATTAGATTTAAATTGCAGGACACTTATATGCTAAGCCTTAGGCCTGTGGATTTCAAATTTACTTACAGCCTTTTTGGCCAGAAACCAATTCGATTTCGATTCTCAGGTTCTGAGCACGCCAGAAACTATCGATTTCGTGTAAGACTGCTTATTCGAACAGCCCAGGCAATCATCTCTGCTAAGGGGTACTATACCGAGACCGCCGGAACGGAATAATAAATGTTAAAAAGGGTACGGAATAACAAGGGCTCTGGCAGGCAACAGCACTCGACATCGAATTAACATCCGTTTGAAATCAATTAGTTTTTTGTTATTAGAAATCGAATTCAAATCCGTTTCAAATCGATTGAAATCTCATTTGATTTCCTTCTGAAATCAATTGGCATCGAATTAAATTTTATTTCAAATCAAGTGCAATTCAATTGGAATTCTATGAGCGCCAATTGAAATCGAATTAAACTCCCTTTGAAACCGTTTGAAATCTAATTTAAATTCCTTTGAGAATCAATTGAAATCAAATTAAACTCCCTTAGAAATCGATTGAAATGTACTTTAAATTCCTATGAAAAGCTATCGGCATCGAATCAAAATCCATGTCAGATCAATTGAAATTTAATTAGAATTCTATATATAAGGGTTGTTTTTAATATAAGGGGGAAGGGATTCATTAATATTTTAGTTGCAAATATGTCCCAAGCCTTAGGCCTGAGGGCTTAGGGCGTAGGGTTTAGGGTTTATGGGTTGCTCTGGGATCCCCCCCAAACAAGTTTTCCCGAACTTGATTGACCTTGAAACCGTGAACCCATCCTTCGCGACACGGCACTGGCTTCGCGAGGAGGAGGCTTAGCAAACTTCTTGCGAGAGTGAGATTCCTTTGGCCAATTGCGGAAATACTAGTTGCTTGACTCCTTCTAGATACTCGCCATTGTTCATGTCGTTTGTCTTGCGCCACTCGTACAATGGTTGCCCACCATGGCTTTGATGTCCAAACCTTTCTATCCTCATATGTGGGCGGGCATGTGCGACATTCGCGTTACTGGGACTATCAATACGTGTCAGCACGTGGCTATAATCAATGAGTACACTCCCGGAAACTAACATGGAAACCCAAAAAGGGCCCTATAAAGACTACAGTCACTCTAAAATGGGGCCCCTAAACCCTAAACCCTAAACCCTATAATCAATGAGTAGCTCTTGCCACCGTGCAGTCAGCTGTGTTCCTTCTTGCCAAAGCCATGAAGCCATGGGCAACGATGTGGCACATCAAAGGCAACCTCAGAGGTCCTCATCATTTATCGGGGTCAGGTACCAAAATCATTTTTATTCAGGACCTTGCGTTGCAACCTGTACTCATGCCCAATCTCAAAACCTACACAAACACATTCACCTCTGCTGTTCTACCGCCTGTTTAAACCAATGACCCAGGACGACAAATCGCAAAGAAAAAGAACGATACCTTCGCCCTCTTATTCACCTCTTCATGAAAAAGCATATCACATTGGGGACCTCCTGGCCCGGTTTAAACCCCTAGTCAGGTCACAATTTGCCTCTGGTTGACCAATGCAGGCCGTCACTCGACCTGCTGGGACACTGGCCGGCGGCTTTCATGAACCCTTGGGCTTAATATGCGGGTGGTTAGTAGGGGCTGGAAAAGAAAATGGAAACTGCAGTTTTATTCAGGAGCATTTAAGGATTCCTCTCGGGATCCATTCCTCTATCACTACCATATTAATATGAGCTATAGTCTAAACTCCTAGTATCCCCCTTAATAACCCCTATAGTAGTCCCCTATATAATCCCCTATATATACCCCCTTTAAGGAGTTTAAGCTATAGCTCATATGACCACCGTAAGTTTGGGATCAAGGTGCTGGTCGGATGTGGCATTTCTGCCGGTACGACATGGTAAACTTGGGCTTTCGGGGCGTCGGGACTCAGTCAAAGGTGGATAATGGCTAGAGCATGCATATGTATAGCCCTCATCCCTACTATAGACTGTTGTTGGCTGGGGGCAGTATCCAGAAGAGAGCACATGTCTCTCCTGCGGTCTTCCGCGGTCCGCTGCAAACTTAAAGCCATTTTTCACTGGATGGAAGCTTCAGAGTTGAGAGCTGCCACTGCATTCCTTGCACCCCCCATAATGTATTCGAGCTACTTAAGGGAACTGTCGGCCGCCCGGCACACGATAATATGAAGTATTCCGGCCACTTAACTGAACCTGGAATACAGAAGGAACTCCGACACTTGTCAACTTCCACCACAGAGTATCATCCAGTAAAAGCCTTAGATTTCATCCAAACGCTGACGATTGGTCCCAAAACTTCCCCCTATTACCCCTATAACAAGGGATTTAGGGTTTAGGGTTAAGGGTGTAGGGTCCAATCCCTATATAGCTCGCATAAAAGCCCTATGTGCCACATTTTCTGCCCTGTAATTCTCATAAGACGGCTATATACCGAAAAGCCAAGGCCGAGGCCAGATGATTCACGTGAAAGGCTTCGTGTTACCCAGAATGGAAACTGAGATGGAAAGCCAATTGAAAATGGAATGGACACTGGCATTACATTAGGAGTTTTGGTCCAGGGCTCCTAAACCCTAATCCCTCCACTTACACATTAAACTTTCAAGCCCAAACTTTAGAGCATCTCAGAAGTGCTACATCGCTCCAGCCTGCCACAAGTGTTGCGGCGTGACCTGCATGCATAGTTATATTCAGAACAAAGAGGCATGGCAACAGTAGTAAACTGCAAGAGAACCTTAACTCATGACCCCTGACCTTTCGAGCTTCATAAAAATTCAGGAAAGTATTGCTGCAGACATACTGGTCACTTTTAGCCGGCGACTAAACGCAAGAGGTTGTTGCTGAGTCTGTTGCCGCGGCCTGTAGAGTTGTATCCGAAAGGCTTGAGGTGGGGCAGCACTCACAGAAGCTACAAGACATACTTACTCATGCTGAGATGTGGTTGCAGGTGGTCTCAGAATGGGAAGACCAGGAAATGATGTAGGTTGCTGTCGCCAAGTCTTCGAGGAAATCTCTAACAAGATGGCTGCCATTCAAAGTCATTCGCCACTTGGTTTCAAGTACTGAGTCAGAATGATGTGCCCAAGGACATTACTTGGAAACTCCAGGCAAATATTACGTATAGTCTCCCAATATTACCCCATATTACCCTGTATTATTCCAATAATCCCTGTAGTTTCCATTTTCTTTTCCATTATACCTATATTATCTCAATAGGAACAGTAGCCCCTAATAAAGTTCCTTAAATCCCTACATTCACCTAGTTTCCATTTAATTTTCCATTTGATTCTCCATTATACCGGGAAAATATCTCTAAACCCAATACCCAAAACTCTAAATCTGTACACCCTAAATCCCTAAACCCTAATCCCTAAACCCTAAACCTTAAATCCCTAAACCCTAAACCCTAAATCCCTGCACCCTAAACCTTAAAACCCTAAAGCCCCAAATCCCTATACCCTAAACCCTAAATCCCTGCACCCTAAACCTTAAAACCCTAAATCCCCAAATCCCTATACCCTAAACCCTAAATCCCCAAATCCCTACACCTTAAATCCCTAACCCCTAAATCCCTAAACCCTAACCCCTAAATCCCTAAACCCCAAATCCCTACACCTTAAATCCCTAAATCCCTAAACCCAAACCTCCTACCCCAAGTTGGCTGCTCCGCTACACTGCAACGAAGACGTGGCATGTTTCATCCTCTGCGCCAGAGTCTACAACTCTGTTAGTATCCCCCTTAATATCCTTTGAGGGTTTAGGGTTTTAGGGTTTTGGGGTTTGAGGGTTGAGGGTTTGAGGGTTTAGGGTTGAGGGTTTAGGGTTTTAGGGTTTTAGGGTTGAGGGTTTTAGGGTTTGAGGGTTTTAGGGTTTAGGGTTTATCCCCTATAATAGTCCCCTATGTATAGGAATTATATAGGGATTATAGGGTATATGTTGGGGCTATATGGGGAAAATGGAAACTACTACAATGGGGTATATATGGAGTATATGGGTGGTTGTCAAAATCATGGTCCCTTTTTGGATGCCTACTGTAATACGGCACCTAATATTTAGGCACTCAAAAAGGGACCATGATTTTGACAACCACCCATATAATCCCCCATATAACCCCTTGTAAGGAGTTTAGACTATGACTCATCTGGGCTCAAGTTTGACTTCTGTGCAGCTTTCCAGATGCTCCATCAAACAAGTGCATGTGCGCAGTCACACAGGGACCTCATGACAGGGTTTGACAAAGTGGCAGTGCAATACCTGGATTGTACAGAACCCCAAACAAGGCACTCTGTTTTACACGCACAGGCGCGCAACGTCTCTGTACCTTCCTTGATCCCCTCTCGGTGAGCCTGTGCGGAGCCTCAGAGGCAACCTGCTCCCTCTTCGGCGCAGACAGGGCAAGTGGAACTTGCAAACTCTGCTGTGGAGGGCTGTGGCCTTAAGACTGCTGGTCCAGCATCTTGGGCTGCTCTCTGGCCGTGGGCAGGCGTCTAGGTGAGTCTGCATGCGCACGCAGAACGAACAGCGGTCAGGGGATGGCAGAGACGGTTCTTCATTCCTGGATTTACTTTTGCACGTTCTTCTTGAGCTTCTTCTTTGGCTTCTTGCCTGCTTCCTTTGGCGCTTCCGCTGCAGGAGCCTGAGCACAAAGCAGGACTCACAACTAGCAGCGGATCAGGATCAGGCATACTATAGTATATGATAGTATACTATAGTATATTATAGTATACTATGATATATTACAATATACTATGGTATGCTATTGTGTATTATAATTAGATCAGGATCGGGCATTCCTACCTAACAACACGCTGGCTGCATCCACAGTATCAGGGGCGACCTGCAACTAAGACCATATGGTTTAGGGTTTAGGGTGACCTGAGTTGTTTCCAAAATCAGGGTCCCATTTTAGTACCCTTGGATATTCGGTGCTGCAACATAATCTGTAACCCGAAGGGGCCTAGTTTTGAGAAAAAACAAACCCACGTGGGCTGTGTTCCAGAATCGCTCAGTAGACTGAGCTTCAAACCCTAAACCTTAAACCCTATAAACCCAAATACCCTAAACCCTAACCCAAATACCCTAAACCCTAGACCCGATGGGAAACCGGCCTCTACAGGCTTCACGGGATTATGGGGGTCCTTGTTTGGGAATAAAAGGTGATTTTCAAAAGCTCCCGCATCTATGAAGAAAGTTGAGCTGTAAACGTTTTTTGAAAGACATGCTGAACCGAATCAGGCATGGAGGAACCTGATGGGAACAACATCATAAAGACTACTCTTCCTATGCTTACTTCTCGGATACTGTCATACATGATTAATAATGTCATTTCTTCTACTAGTAGCGTTCAGGACTTGAGTTCCCAAAAGATGCCAACTGCCAAACATGATCGTGAGGGTTTAGGTAAGGCTTCTTTAGACTCCAGTACCCTCTTTTGAACCGTCATAGAGCCACAAGAAGGAGGCCTCTAAAGACTGTTTTTGTTTGAAAGCATGCTTCACAAAGTTACATGTTTAGTTTGGGGAGGGGTAGCCATTGCAAGGAGGTAGCTCCCTCCGCTGCAGGAGCCCTTCTGGGAAATTACAGGGTTTGGGGTTCTGGCTTCGGGTGTATGTGATACGAAAATTGTGCCATTAATCAAGCATAGCATAAGGCCACGTTGACGATTCTTCGGACACTCCAGACGCCCAAACCATAAACCATAGAAATCCAATCACCTTTGTAATGTTAACCCACGAAACCTCCATAGTCCAAGTGGAGAGTGAAGGGACATGCAACCCCAAAAGGGCAGCAAAGGGATATGTATCGGGCCATAGAAAGCATGCAGAACCTTGTAAGGGATATGAGTCCGGCCATATAGTAGTCCCCTATATAACCCCACTATATAACCCCCCCTTTAAGGAGTTTAGACTACAGCTCATACGGCTGTCTACAGAGTTGTTGGTCCCCATTCACAGGCCTTCGCCTTCAGGCCTTTCCTTTTCAGACCCTTCTTTGGAGCCTTTGCTTCAGCCAGGAGATTCAAACTGCAAGGACCCTAGTTGTTCACCGTTCAGCCTATTTCGGTTCAAGGAATCTACAGGTTTGACAGGAAGGGTCCTTCAGCTGCTTCTATCATGGAGTCCTGACTACTGCAGATATTTCGCAGTTTCTTCTTCCATGGAGTCGTCATAAACCCAAAAGCTGAACCATGGACTTCAACCATGAATTTAACACTCTGTGCAGAGGGCGCCTCTGTTGCCTGAGCTCATAATACATATTCCTGAGGGCTTCTCAAAGTTACGGGTCCTTTCCATTGTGTACCCACTATGATGAGAGGACATTTTTGCAGCATGAGCACCTGTTTGTTCGAAACGCTCAGCTAGCTGAACACAAGCTTTCAGATGCGCAGATCAAAGCCAAGCCAGTAATGCAATGGGGCGATTCTCGTAAAGATTTGGTTAGCATGCTTATCGCTTTCCCAATCCTACCTGCCCCTCTCAAGCTCTGCCCGTTTCACTGACATCAGCTCTCCTTTTTTCTCGCACACAACTTCTGGTGGGAGGCAGTATCTGAAATTAGGAGATGCCCTACAACGTTTTGTCCAACAGAGCACTCAAACGGTGTCTGAGGGCTTCCTGAGGCCCTTAAATTCAAAATCCTAAGCCTTCATCAATCCAAAGCTCAAGATCTTGATCCTGGAGTCCACGCGCCAAGCGCTACCGGAAACCCGAAGCCCCAAATTCTGACCCTGAATCCGAGACCCTGTGTTCGGAAGGGTGCGCGCTTCATGCTGTACCCGCAAAATCAAGAAGCCCCGAACCCGCAGGGGTGCCTCACTTGCAGCACCCTTCTTCTTAAGAGCTTTCTCAGACTTGCTGAGGCCAGCCTGTCTGTTCAGGGTTTAGGGCTGGACTATTTACCGGCCTGAATGACTTATCATCTTTGTGCGCATTGTATAAATTCGCATACACCGGTCTTGCTACCAGCATTGTTTGCTTCTACCTCACTCTGTCATCTGCGAACATGGCGCTACTTGCCTCCACTAGTGAGCATGCCTGCTTTGTAGTTGCACAGACTCATCATCCACTTGGTTGCTGTTAAGGAACTTA